CGGCGGAACAAAAGATCGGTCCTCGCTGGGGCCTCTCGCCCTGAATCACTATCTCTCCCCCACTGGGAGTGCGAACCCTCACTAGCTGTAGCTCACAATCAATCACCGCCCCATTGGGGCTCAGCCAATCCATGCCCACAATAACTTTATTCCCACGCAGGGGAATAGGAACCAGGTCCACTGAAAACTGCTCATCAAATATCTGAAGGGAACACCCTTTATGTACTCTACCGACCCTCACGGTCCTATCATCTGCTATCTCAACCTCTAGTGGACAATCCAGCTCCCCTGGAGCTCTGCTAAACCTCTTGCTAAGCGCAAGCGATACAAATGATCGGGTAGCCCCCGAATCGAACAATACCAAAGCAGGGATGCCGTTCACCGAGAACGACCCTAAATAAAACATATCATCAAGTAATATTCAAACGATATAATAACAATTAAAGATGAAGGAAAGATTCATACCCGTCACCACATCAGGAGTCGCTCGCGCCTCCTCTGCTGTCATCTGAAATGCCCTGCTCTTCGCCACCGGCGCATCAGCTCGGCCCTGCCGGCCATCCGTAATCCTCAAGGTGGCAGGGGCAGGAGCAACCACCTTCCCTGCTGCAGCTAAACTGGGACACTGGGACCTTTTATGTCCCCTCTGATTGCACTGAAAGCAAATCAGATCTGATGCTCTAACCGTAGTAGCAGGGGCCGTACAATCCCTACTCAAATGCCCAGTCTGACCGCACTTGTAGCAGCCGGAACTCCCTGCCTTGCACGCCCCCTCGTGCAATCTCCCACACTTGCCACACCGACCGTGGCTCTGCTGACCCCTAGACTTGTGATCTGAAACCTTGGGCTTTTTGCCCATCCCGCCTGAACCCGAAACCGCCTTCGGTTTCCTCTTCTTCTCCATCTCGAGATCAATCTCCCTCTCTCTGGCTCTAGCAATCATGTCGTCCAACGTTTTACAACTGGACCGGCTCACAAACATGCGAATGTCACTCCGCAGCATCTCATGATAACGGGCCTTCTTCATCTCCTCATCGGCTGCATACTGAGGAACAAGAAGGGCCTCTCCCTGAACTTGGCGGTGATCTCCGCCACTGTCTCGGTAGTCTGGGTAAGATCCTGGAACTCCCTAGCTAACTGTTGCACCTCGATGACCGGTGCAAACTCCGCTCTGAACCTGGTAGAGAAATCAGCCCAGGTCATGGCATCCAGTGCCGCATCATCCCCGATGGCATGTCCGACCTCCTCCCACCAGTCTCGTGCCCTGTCCTTCAGAAACAGGACGCAATCTGACCTTGTCCCCCTCGGGACATCTGCTAGTGCGGAATGCGTTGGCCACATCCGCCAACCACCTGGTACTCGCTATGGGGTCCCGTGCCCCATGATAGTCAGGAGCCCCGCATGCCCTGAACTCCCTGAACGTAAGTGTGCGCGACCCCATCACGGCCGCCATCTCGGCACGGAAAGTACTCAATCTCTCATCCATCAGCTCTAAAATACCCTCCTTGATCGAACCGAAGATCACAGGAGTCTGCTCTAGTATGATGCGGGTAACCTCAGAAGAAAGGAACTCCCTAGTCTGCTCATCCATCTGCCCGGCCTCCGGGCCTGATCCCGATCCTGATCCCCCTCCGGCATCTGAACTGCCGGCTGCTGGCCTCGGACGCAAAACTACCATTCTGAAACATATCATAACAACATCAGAACACTGAAATATCTCAAGGGATCATGATACTACTACTAGCTTCCTGGTCTTGTCTTGGCCTTCCTTAATTCGAGTACGGATCCTCTGCTTTCAGTAGTATGGGCCCCTACTACCTTCCACATCTATCCGTACTTTCCTCAAGAACTCCCTTGACTCCACCAAGTCACTTCTACTACTGCCATTCTTTGCTACTCTCATCCTAGGCTTGCCCTAGGGAAACTTCAAGCTCAACGCGACTGGTCCTCAGCTGCTGTAGGTCTCCTCATAATGCCAGTTAGCCACCACCTAAACACCATCACATGTGATGAGGATCAGATAATCCTTCAAGTAAAAGATCCGTCCCTACAACGGTTGGACTCAAACAAGAGCTGCGCAGTAGAGCCAGTTCCAGTACTCTGGGATTATTCAAACCTGATCACATGTGGTGTGACGTGTTCACCTAATGGCTAACTCCCACTACTCAGAACCCCACTAAGCACGAAGCAAGCAGCATTCGGACATGGGAAATAGACTCAGGCAAAACTATTCTTATAACAAGAAACTGCACTAGCATAGGATGCTAAGCTCATACTATCAGGCATAACCTAAACAGGCTATCCTACTGTTGTCTACTCAATTCTAGCATGCAACACTCATAAAGCTGTAACACATAAGCAGGCACATAAGGCATTCTCCTAGATCCTTAGCCCTATACTAGCATGCTGTTCTACTGAAACTGAAACTGAACAAATAACTTGTATGGGTAATTTGGGAGTACTTACTTGAGCTCGGCTGACCGCATGCACACACCTCTATCTTGTTAAAAACAATTCTTTCTTTCCAAGTGCATCGGACCGAAGTCCGGAACTGACTGCATCGGACCGAAGTCCGGAACTGATTGGGACCTTGTCCCCTGCATCGGACCGAAGTCCGGAACTAACTGCATCGGACCGAAGTCCGGAACTGACTGGGACCTTGTCCCCTGCATCGGACCGAAGTCCGGAACTAACTGCATCGGACCGAAGTCCGGAACTGTCTGACTGAACATGGCATAACATAACACATCAACTAGCAGAACACATATACGACATGCTACATCGGGCCGTGGCCCGGAACACATAGTACTTGACACATAAAACATAACACATAAATCCTGTTCGAACCACGAAGGCATCGAACATACCAACTACTGCATCGGACCTAAATCCGGAAACTACTGCTAACTGAACGGGCCGGCATTGTGGCCTTAGACCCGTTCCTACTGGAAGGAAACTCACCTCGTAAGCTGGCTGCTGAGTGTGTGGCTCGGGAAGCTAACGGCGGCTGCTCCTGAATCTCCTCGGCTACAAGTCCATAAACACACTTAATCAAATACTAAACACTGCGCTTGGGGTAAAATGACTCTTTTACCCTTGGTCAAAGTCAACTCTCCTTTGGGCTGACTCGCCGAGTTGGGCCACCCAACTCGCCGAGTCCTACTCTCACTTTTCACTTTTACTCACTGCTACTCGTCGAGTCTGGCACCGACTCGACGAGTACCCTCTTGATCCAAGAACTCAGACAATCTTCATCCGACTCGCCGAGTCGTATGAACAGACTCGACGAGTTGTTCTTGATCCCAAGAAGATTGCCTTGGACTCGCCGAGTTGTATGAACAAACTCGTCGAGTCCCTCCATCACTGAGTCTACTCTCAACTCGCTGAGTCCACTTCCTGACTCACCTCGTACACTCGACACTGATAAAACTGAAGGACTCGGGACTCGCGACCCGACTCGTCGAGTCGTTCTTCCGACTCGCCGAGTCGCCGCCATGCAACTGATTTTTACTTGATTTTGTTTGAATCCAATGCATACAATTGATAGATCTGAGTCCAATAAGCTATTTTACCACGTAAAGTTTCCAACTTTACGTGCACAACCTCATGAATAAGGGAAATAAGGCTAAAAGATGCATAAAATGGGTAGATCTATGGTTATCATGCAATATAACTCCAAAAAGACAGTAGATATGGGCTCTACAACACCCCAACATTCAGATCCATAGATATTTCGACTTAATAAGACATTCATGCAAGTGTAAGGCTTGAAACAAGCACCAACTAGCTCTTAGGAGAGCCCTAATGGAAGTTTAAAGCATATAATAAGATGGAACTCCGAAAATACCTCAATAAACTCTGATTTGGCCTTGGATCTTTGCACTACAACCCTTCTCCTTGCTTCTTCCTTCTTCTCCTTCTTCACACCTTCACAAAATGGCACCAAAACACATATAAGCTCTTCAATGGAGGTTTGGGGCTCTATCACTGCGTTCTCAGGGTGAGGGAGGCGAGAATGGGGGCTATAAGGTGGTATAAATAGTGGGCAACCCGGGGATTTTAGGGTTTCACCCAGACAGATGGACTCGCCGAGTCGGGGATATGGACTCGTCGAGTCCCCGGCTCACGCGTGCCCTCAGACGCGACCCTACTCGGCGAGTCAGGCTAGAACTCGCCGAGTCCCTCTTGAAAAACTCACTATAATAACCAATAAATCAACATACCGGGAACGGGTCGTTACAAACATCTTTGAGACAAATCATCTCCACTCGGGTACATAGCTTCATCCAAACCATGGATCCACGAATTGTTGCCTCGCTCGAGAAAAGAGATTCGTAGTTGCGAGTTCTGGGCCGATGAGCGATATGTAATCCTAGGATTAGAACTATGCTTTACTACTTCCATATAGTAGTTAGATCTTTTCTATTTTTTATATTTTAGGTCTTTTGGCTAGTCTTCATTTCCCTTTCTTCTCTTTTTTCAATATGGATAGCAAGAGGCCTACATGGAAGGAAGGAAAGATGGAAGGAGAGAAGGACTGAACGACAAAAGGAAAGACCTCTTTGTTTGCCTTGGAATGAATTGGTTTTTTCAACTGCTGAATAGGTTTCGAGGCTTAACTTAAGTAAGTCTTCAGTACGCTTTTAGTATCCGGATCGATAGAGACTGATCCCTTTCTACATACATAGCCCCACCCCACCAGATACATACATACTTTTTATCCTTTCTCCCATAAAGCTTCCTTTCCTGAATCTTAGCTCTTATCTTTCTTATTTATTCTCACTACTCTCACTTTAGAAACCGGGCCTGGAGAATTCAACCTTAATGTACCCGGGTAGTACGCCTGGAACAAGAATGTTCGTCGTACAATTTCGGCGATTACAAAAAGAAAGGAGTATATCCCTCTCCCTTAGTGTCTTTCCACTTCCGTCGTTCAGGAACAAACACTTCGCTTAATTCTTTTGAATCCCGGCCCACTTTTTCCCCACTAACTAATTACGTTACGACCACTGAACAAACTTGGTTGACGAACATAGTTTGTGCGCTGCTAATGTAGCGGCTTGTCGAGCATTTGACAAACTCACACCATCCATTTCAAATGGGATTTGTCCTATGGACAAACGAGCAATCCAACCCGTAGGATTTCCTTTTCCTTTTCCCATTCTGACTTCTGTAGGTTCCCCGGTAATAGGGAGATCTGCGAGAACTCTTACCCATATCTTACCATTTCTTCGGAATTGTCCGCTCATAGTACAATGGAATTGCCCAATTATAGCTCGACGCGCTGCTTCAATGGCTCGATATGAAAGAGGATAAAATTCTAAGATGTCCCTTGCATTATTACAACCTTCTTTTTTGATGTCAAAGACCAGAAGCTACGCGAAAATTTTCATTGGATCAAGGAATACGAGAATTTCCACCTTGTTGAAGGTCTAGTGGTGCTACCCAAAGACTTAAATGAATAGCCATCACTGTTAAGAACAACCGAGATCCAATGAAAATTTTCGCGTAGCTTCTAAAAGGTGGTTTGCTGCTGTCCCTGGCATTGGAAAGACCTGACAAAGAATCCTTATATCGGGAAATGTGCTATATGGAGGTTTTTTTTATGATTGTTGACGTACTGACTCATGCTCAGGATCCGCTTAGAGTTCCTTAATGCATTTGTTAAAATGGGTCCTAATAGAATTTTTTATGACAAAATAAAAAATTCTATATATGATTGGTCATATAATCGGGGTTACATAGATGCCTTTTATGGAAGATTCTTAACTGCGGGGATTAGAAAATTGGCCAATTTTGCTCATTTTTTTGATAGACGAATAATTGATGCAATTCCAAATGGAGTTGGTCTTATGAGTTTCTTTGGAGCAGAGGTTATTAAATTAGTAGGGGGTGGGCGTATTTCTTCTTATCTGTTCTTTTATTTTTTCTTATGTAGCAATTTTTTTTTATTAATTTACTATTTTTTCAATGTTTGAATCTTGTTGACTAATCTCGCTAACATTGAACTTGGTAAAATGAAATGATTGAATAATTGAAAAATGAGATTATTTAGGAATACACATTGAATGCTGAGATTACGCATTGAATTTCTGTTAGTAGATCCATAATCAAAGAAGTGTTTGTGAGTATTGCAGAAGAAATGAAACAAAAGATACGGTAGAGCTAGGAAAGTTATTGTATGAGGTCTACCCAGTGCTAGATGCAGAGGCGCATAATAGATCGATATGAACATTATGAGCTGTCCCGTAATAAAACCAGTTGTTGCTGATACCTTCTTCTCGGTTCCTTCTTCTCCTTCTTCCATAATGTGAGCTCGGAGAAGGAAGAGATAGGAGGGCCCTATGGAGAATGTGGTCAGAAATCCATAATAGAGTCCGACCACAACGACCGAATTGAATATCTTCATGCATAAGGATACTAGATTACCTAGTAGAAAAGATTTCAAAATCATCACAAACCTCCCTTTTTCTTTTCTATTGCAATTTATGGATTATTATATGATGATTTTGAAACTTTCCATATATAGAAATAGAAAGAGATAGACTAGAAATGACATCTGTTATGTTAATGACACTAAAAGGATATTAAATGAATGGAATTGGGATATGGATGGAATATAATGAAATAGAGCCACTTTGGGGTTCCCTATGAAATGAGGCATGGAAGGGAGCCACTACAAAGAAGTTCCGGGAGTTACGAAGGAAGCTTCGAGCTCATATTGGTCATGGGTTGAGAACGGGAATGGAACTCTATGAGATCGAATCTCCCGTTGTTCCTTAGTAGCTCAGTGGTAGAGCGGTCGGCTATTAACCGATTGGTCGTAGGTTCGAATCCTACTTGAGGAGATTTGAAAATCACCGTCAACACCTCGGTGTAGGCCCGGGATACTCCTTTGTTCCATAGCCCTGGGGCTATTTACAACTATCCAATTAATAATTCTCAGATGTACTAGTACTAGCAGTGCATCAAAGATGCAGTCATCGATTCTCCCGAGAGGCTACAATTGCCGCGAGCAAACATATTAATGACGGAGTGACTCTCGGGGATAGGCACGACTGAACAGACTCAAATGCATAAGTATACTTTAGGAGTTCCTATGGAAAGACAATAAGGCGTCAACAGTGCCGTCTAGCGCCTTTTAGGCTTAGTCACGTCTCCCCAGATAAGGAAGCAAAGCCATAGCACGAGAGAGAATGCGTTCCTTCGTCGTTTTATTTCGAGGAAGCGCTCAAGTCGAGACTATTATATGTCAATAGAGAAAGCGGATTCAGAAAGAAAGCGAGTCCTTTTAGTCTGTAATCTTGTAAAAGAGGGTTTCAACTAGACTACGGGTTGTGAAATCCCATTGTATTCGAGGAGTCAAGGATTTGTTGGGAATTCCGGATCGAAGAAAAGGGAGATCAAAATATGGTGCAGAAAAACCAAAATAGAGATGAATGGAAGATGCCTCTGGAACTCTTTTTTCTCCAATTTAAAGTATGAAGTTACTGGCTCTAAGAAGGCAATTGCACCTTAGCCTACCGATGTCTAGAATAGCACGATAGAGGCCCTAATGAATGGTGCTAATTCCCATGTTCCTTCTAGTCTCGTTTGGTTTCGAGAGCCTCCCCCTCCCCGTCCCTTACTCGTCTTTTGCGTCATCCTTTCATTTTTTTCCGTATGCCGGGGAAAATGCCTCACCTTTCTACATGAATTATTAGAAGAATTTCCGTCTCTATAAAACAGAAGGAAAAGCCCGGGTGGAAGCACAAACTAAAGGAGAGAGGAAAAGTCGAAAGGGGGGAAGAAGTCTAGTGCTAGTTCTTACTGAAATTTCTTGATTTTATCTAACTTTCATTTTTGAGTGGTTTCTTTGTTCTCTTATTTGGATTGAAAGAAAGAAAAAAATTCCCTTTCTTTCTCTTCTTTTTTTTCCTTCGACGAATTGAAGCTATGACCAATGGCCCCCTAGCTGAATAGGCGTAAGAAAGCTACCTGAAAAAAGGCAAGGTGCACCTTGGATTGAACTTGACGAATTGCGTTTTGCCAGATATATTTTTTTAGAAAGATTCCCATTAAAAAATAGAAAGAATCAAAATAGAAACTAAATACTAAATCAAGGTGCATACGCGGGAAGGGGGCCTTACTACTTCTTCATTCAGGGGGGGGGGGAGACTAGCCTCATGACTTCCCACTAGGCGAGAGGTGCACCTAACCCACCTACCCACTCATCAATCACGGTGTTCAGCTGACTTGCACTGGTAGACCTCTATTGTATTGGAATTAGGCGCCCATCTTTTGACTGTTGTCAACTAATCTCTTCAATGTTAGATTCTACTCTATGTTAGAACATTTCTGTGAATGCTATTCTGATCTAAGTGGTCTTATTATGTGTCCCGTGCTAGGAAGCATTACTCCTCTTTTCATTCCAAATTCAAGAATACAACCGATACGATTGATTGGTCTGTGCGCCTCTCTTATTACTTTTTTGTATTCCCCTGTTCTTCGGATACAATTCGATCCTTCTACGGCCAAATCTCAATTTGTGGAAAGCCTTCGATGGCTTCCTTATGAAAACATCCATTTTTATTTGGGTATAGATGGTATCTCTTTATTCTTCGTGATATTGACCACATTTCTGATCCCTATTTGCATTTTAGTGGGTTGGTCTGGTATGAGAAGTTATAGGAAAGAGTATATTACAGCATCTCTAATTCGTGAATTTCTAATGATCGGAGCCGGGTATGTAAGCCATGTATCTGGGAGGAACTTAAAAGAAGGGCTTTCGGTTTTTTTCACCCCGTTTTGTGGTCTTGCAGCTATTTAAATAAATAAGAATATAAAATTATATATATATATATATATATATATATATATATATATATATATATATATATATATATATATATATATATATATATATATATATATATAATAAGACTTTTTTAGAAGAAAGATTCTATATATGTCCAATCCCTAGTGGTGGTGGGACCAACCAAGATGTATGTCGTCCAACCCAACCTCAAACTCTTTCTTCCCGACCTATTTGACTCTCTAGCCGCAGTTATAGTTATTTAGGTGGTATCCCGAGATTGAAGAGATCGAATATCTCCGGGAAATACACGAAACAAAGATATGAACTGGGTAAATAGAAATGGAAAAGAGATGTTTCCAATTCATCAAAATGAGAAGCTTTTTCTACATCCATATGATCTACTAAAGTAGATCAGTATTGCCCATATAATGATCGAAATTGAATGTCTTTAGTCAAAAAACGACAAAAGCTGTCCTTGCCATTGAAAAGAGTGCCATGGCCTAAATAAATTCATCCAACATTTGTGCCAATACATTATCCTCATTCTGTTCCGGATTGTAATCCCTAATAAAAAAATATAGCTCCATGAGCAAAAGCTCCTGTCATGATGAATCCTGCAATGTATTGGTGATGAGTATATAATGCAGCTTGAGTAGTAAAGTCTTGTGCTATAAATGCATAAGCGGGTAAAGAGTACATGTGTTGAGCTACCAAAGAAGTAATAACCCCTAAAGAAGCTAGAGCAAGGCCTAATTTAAAATGAAGCGAATTATTAATTGTGTCATAAAGGCCCTTATGCCCACGTCCCAATCGCCCTCCCGAAGGGATATGTGCATCTAAAAGATCTTTCATACTGTGCCCAATCCCAAAATTAGTTCAATACATATGCCCAGCAATAAGAAAAAGAAATGCAATAGCTAAATGATGATGAGCCATATCAGTCAGCCATAAACTTTGGGTTTGTTGATGGAATCCCCCGAGAAGGGTTAAAATGGCAGTTCCTGCTCCTTGGGAGGTACCAAATATTCATTTAGTTGTGAAATATTTATATTCTGCCTTAACCATGCCAACCCTGTCAAAAAGATTATCCAACGGAAACTGACGATTTTTCTCGGATGTGAAGGCTTAGGCTTCCATTTATGTTTTAGGTTTCATTTCTTTTCTCCGCCAGGGTGCTCACTTCCTTCCTGTTCCCAGAGCCAGCTTCAATCTGCTTTGCTCCATCTAAGGCTAGGGCTAGGAACTTAATCTCCCCAACATTTCTTCTTCATGTGCACATTTGAAAACAGCCTATTGGCTTCAGACTTTTCCTTCCTAGCTGCCCGGATCTGATGCACAAAAAGATGCCATTTATACTATACGCAAAAGAGCACTTCGGATTCAGGCTAGGCTAGACTTTCTTGCCTTAGGTCAATCAGGTCTTTCTCTTCCCTTACTAATGCTAATGTGGGATCAGTTACTTCCGAACAGTCTATTGACTCCCGAACAGCTACATTTGTCCATGAATTCCCTTCTGCTTCACCTTGTGGCCTATCACATACATCGATGGAAGCTGCTAGCTACCTTCTTCCTGTTCTTTAGTTGCCCGAGATGAGTTCTACACCCTAAGGAGATAGAGAAAGTCCTTCCAGAGATTCATGTCAAACCAGTTTTGAAAAACAGCCAACTCATGCAAAGAGTCCTTTCCCCATGCCCATGCTATGAAAACTTCACACCAAGTCAAGCCGCTAGCTTTAGTAAGAAATCGAGGCTTGAAACTAGAATTAGATAAGTATAGTACGCAGGGAAGTACCTATCTGAAAGGAAGGTAACATCTGGCACATAGGGACATC